TTTTTTTGTTTTGTTTAGAGAGGAGGAATCTTCGTAAGACCCCCAACGGAAGACGGTTGGGGAGTGTGGGATTCGAGTGAGCGGCACATCGAACGAAAGACCACTCAGCCTCGCCTACCCACTAAACCTCCTCTATATCCATCGCGACCTTGAGCGGGAGAGGATCCTGGAACGTTGACAAAACAACTCATCACGGATCCTCCCCCTTTAGTCAGTTGCCGTTAACGGGCAACAGATGCATCGGCAGATCATACCATAGTCTTGTGACCTTGCGGTCACCTCGCTCGACGCTCGGATCGGCTCGTCGGCGTCCGGATTCGAGAGAAGGGGAGACTCAAGTGTACGCGAACACAAGTGGCGGCGAAAAGATCGTTATTGGTAGAAAGGTAAATACAGAGTAGTGCAGAGCCGAGTGATGTCGCAGTGTCGCTGGTAACAAAGCGGAGATGCAACCGGTTGGCGTAAGGCGATGAGATGCGGCGTGCGGTCGACAATGGTTTATTTACACGGCGCGATTACCACTAGGGATCTTAGAATTACTGACTTATAACTAGCGGTCCTAATCTCTATCGCATGCACTTACGAGCTAATGTCAGGCGAGACGGTTAGGTATTGCGGGCAGGGCTGAATGCCACGTCGAGCCCTGCCTTCGCAACGGAAACCGGCGAAACCCGGTGGAACTGAGCGAAACCTCAGCCCGAGGAGCGGTGACAGGAGTCGGCGAAACCCGACAGAGCTGAGTGAAACCTCAGCCCGAGAGGTAGAGAAAGCCGGTGAAACCCGGCAGAGCCAAGCGAAACCTTGGCCCCGAGAGGTAGTAGGTACTGGTTAGGTCGGTGTCAGGAGTCGGATCGCAGGATGGGATCTGGTCCCGATGTCTCGGCCGGCCGGGTATATAAGCCGGGTATATAAGGGTTCCCCACTGCGCGCCATCGGTCCGGTGGCGGGGAGTCGATATCGCGTGGGGGCACCGCGAGCGAGATAGCGTGAGCGAGACGGCACGTGCGACCTACAGGCAAACGAATGCGATAGCGTGAGTGGTGTACGTGCAAGCGGGATGGGTAATGCAGGATAGTAAGCCAAGCGTTTATATATATGTATATGTGTTTATATATTTACGTATATGTATGTATATGTATGTATATATATATATATATATATATATATATATATATATATATATGTGTATGTGTGTTCGTAACGGCCCTGCCGTTACAGTCTTAAGGAGAGATAGTAAATAATGAGTAAATAGATAGATGATGAATAAAATATACATGACAAGTGAATATACAGATAGGTAGGTGATTTGATTCTCCCACAAACTACAATAAGGCAAATTTCATTACGTTACGTTACGAGTTAGAGTAGAGTAGCGCGGTACATTCGCTTCATTCGTTCATTCGTTCATTCGACCTTTCCGTCTTTCATTTGCGTCTTGAATGTTCCATCGAGAAGATAGGTTCATATGAATGAACCCAGAGCCGTGTTCGGATGTCATAACTGAACGCACTCAAGTCTGTTCATATAATGCGAAGACTGAAGTGTAGACCACGAACAGACCAGGATATAGAGGAATAAATTCACTAGGACATAGAACAAACATTAAACATCCAAAGAAGGAAGAAAGAAGGAGGAAAGTACATTCTAATGCTAACAGTGGACCAGATTTAATGGTCGCAGCATCCAATGCGGTGAGCCTAACCAATTCCTTGTCTATTTCTTTCCGCCAGCCGCGGAAAGAATTTTCGTGGATACATCGATCGACTTATCGCGAATTTGGATATTCGGTAAAGGCAGAGGAGGATCCAATCCTTTCCTGCAGAAGACGCATGCTACTGTTTTCTCCACTGAAATTTCTAGACCTAAACTTTCAATTCTGCCTATGATTGTCTCGGAAAAGGCCTCTGCTCTACGCGTCGCATCTTTAAAATTATTGTCTGTGATAACTAGTAGCGTGTCGTCCGCGTAACATAATATTTCGCATCCGATAAAATTATGCTCCCGTAATACCTGGTCATACGCAACGATCCATAATAGTGGACCGAGCACAGAGCCCTGCGGAACGCCTCTCGTGACATCAAATTTGTTTAATAGTCCGTATTTGTCGTAGTAAATTGCCGAACGCTCGCTTAAATATGCTCTGATTAAAGTGCATAAGTAGCCGGGGACTTTTTTGCGTTCCAGAGCTAGGATTATTTCGCTCCATATTGAATTAAATGCATTTTTTTATATCTAGACCGATTACCAGCGTGAATTGATTTAGAGCGTTGGATTCAATGATGTCTAGTAACTTCTTGATCGCGTCCACTGTGGACCTGCCCGTTCTGAATTCGAATTAAGAATCCGACAAAAGGTTCCTGTTTTCCAGAAAAGAAGCAAGCCTATTAGTGTCGGTCCACAATAAGTATTTAATCTTTAAGCCGTAAGAAATTGACCAATCATCGATTATTCTTTTCATATTCGATTATAATTGATCAATTTCTTACGTCTTAAAGCTTAAATCACCTATTGTGGACCGACACTTAGAGATGATCTTTTCCATCAGCTTTCCGATGGTGTTCAGCAAACAGATGGGGCGATACGATGAGAATGAGTCCAGAGTTTGTTCGGTTTTGGTAGTAAAACCAATCTGGCAATCTTCCACTCCCCAAGGAAGTAAGATTCCCGAAAACACCTAGTAAATAGGCTTGCGAACGTCTCGTTGTCGTATTCCACCACAGCGATTAGTATCTTGTAGATAATTTCGTCTGGACCTGAGGATTTTCCGTTATTCTTTAGTCTTCCAATGGCAGCATCCAACTCCGCAACCGTAACTTCAGGCGCATCCATAATAGGCACCCTGGGACACGTCCCCCACGGTGCCATCGCTTGGTCACCCGCTGGGAATAAATGATGAACCACCCGCGACACGAACTCAGGTTCCATGGACTGGCAGATAGGAGCCGAGGCTCAGCTTTCCCATCACCATTTTGTATGGACGCCCCCATGGATCATCGTCAATCGATTGCAATAACTCCCTCCATCCGCGCGATCCTTTGCTATGGCCGATCTTAATTCCTTTCGCGCAGCTTTAAGGCTCATCCACAGCGAGTGCACTAAAGCATTCTTGCGTGCTCTAGCTCTTGTGTACCTCCTTCTCAGGGTCTTACATCTTATTCGCAGTTCCGCGATGTCATCGTTCCACCAGTACACTTTTTTTCTTGCATGCCCTTTTAATAATTCTCGGCATCGAAAAATCACAGGCATCTTTAACAATCCTGTGAAGTTTCTTGATGATACAGTCTAGATTTAGCCTATCTTCATCCGGCAACGGCCAGAAACACGCGTGTAAAGATCGCGAGAAAATCCTCTTTATTTAATTTACCGAAATTCCATGTGGAAAAGAGGACTTTAGAAGTGGAGTGGCAACCCTGTCTAGCGCTACGCAAGTCAAAAGCAATCATGTGATGATCTGATGCATTATATTCATCCAGGATTCTCCAGTTCGTGATTGTGTCCAGCATGTTTCGTGAGCACCATGTTAAATCCACCACCGAGTTCCCCTGCGGCCTGCTGCATGTAAATACACCTGGGCTGTTAATTATGCACAAGTTATGGCTGCAAGCCCATTCGTGTAGTAACTTTCCCCTAGGGTTGGACACTATCCCAGGTTTCGAAACGGGCATTGAAGTCGCCAGTCAATAAAAATTGAAATCCATAGAGAGAAGATATGAGGCAAGAAAGTTCGTCTAGAAATTTTTCAAACTCCATGATAGATCTATTAGGTGAAAAATAAGTGCAGATGACGCTTATTTTGTCTGCTTTAACAGCGACTATACCAGGAGCCGAGTAAAATAATCTCCAATTATGTAGAAATCTGTCGTTAATAAAAAAGGCCGCCATGGGTTGTCCTTAGATAAAAACCACCTGACATTATCATGGTAAGTGTAAAAAGGTTCCGAAATTATGGCTGCATGAGCCCCATGCTCCTTCAGCATGTGAATTAGTAGATCCTGCCGAGCAATTATTGAGGTTGATTTGAAATAATTTCATAATTGTTCTTCCGAAGGTACTATTTCCATGCTCGCCGAGCCTTCCTAAGAGCTATTTCCTTTCTGCGCGTTACTTTTATTCGGGGAAGCCGCACCGCTGGATGATCTGTCCTTCAGATTCACAAGCGGGCCCGGAGCTACTGGAGGACACATCTCACTTCCAGCCCTGTGGTTATATGGAAGTCCTTTTTCTTTGCATACTGCAGCTTGAACGATTTCTGCACGAGTTAAGCTTATGTGAGGCATCTCCGCAATTAAAGCAATGCCCAGTTCTGTCCGAGTCACTAGGACATCTGTGTCTCGTATGACCCCTGGCAAAGCATCTGAAACGTCTCACCGGTATCGCGGGTAAAAACTCTATTTTGATTGATTTAACTCAGCCAAGTTCTATCGTACCAATATTTGATAGTTTCAATGCTGATTGTAAGGGACATTGAAGCCATACAACGCCCAGACCGTTTCTGGTCACTCTGACAGGTCCAACCCGGACACTGTTGGGAGAGCAATCCCCCACAATCGAAACCTGTTGTCTAATCTCCGAGGAGGTCACCGAGTCGTCAAAGCCAGATAATCTAATATCCGCTTGCCTCATGGGTCTGCTTATCTTTACCCGAGGATCTTCTATTATCTCTTTCAACGATGTGATCAACTGTTTTGGATGGATCTTCATCCCTAATTTCCAGCAGCACACCGCCAGAGAGGGCCCGTTTCACCCGCGTGTCCGAAACCTTGTGATCTTTCAAGGATATGCAGTTTTTGGCCTTACCCAGCACCGATGCGTACGATGGTCCATCGTTGTCGATGACAATTGAGATTGCCGCCACATTAGGAGACGGGATGTTAATTCTGCTCCTTCCAAAGGGACGTGGTCGCGGAGTACGGTAAGTCTCCCTGACATTATCCATCGCTCATTCCGTCGCTCTACCTGAAGGTCTGTTATTGCCTCTCTTCCTCCTGTTTCTTTTAACTACCTCCGACCAGCCTACTTTTTCTCTGCCTCCGGCTTCAGAGAATGATATAGGAATATTATTTGCTGCCAATTCCAAAAAACAAGGCTTCACACGCTCGGATCTATCCGCAAAGCGATTTTCTATGTTTTTCGGATTGTCAGTTTCTCCTCCGCTTGTCATGTCATAGTCATTAGTTAGTAACTCCCTCATTGCACCGGTGAATTTCATGGAGCTCATTGACCGCCTCATATTTACGATTTTTAATTCTGTTAGCTCTATCTGTATTATCGATATTATTACTATTGACATTAACATTTGATTTATTTGCAGGAGCCGAGCTTCCTTTATCCACATAATCATCGGATTGTCTTGCACTCTCCTCCTCCACAGCTTCAGGCCGCCTATACTAGCCATGGATCTTGACTGTGCTGCTGTGCCTGAGAACTTCTTTTGTTTTAGTTCAGCGGTAAGTACTCTAATCGAATTTCATAACATTCTATTCTCTTCTTTTAATTTGTTGAGTTCATCTTTATTTCCTCATACTGACTTCTACTAATGTTATCCTTATTCCTGCCAGAAGCTCTATCAATCAGCTCTTCTATCCCACGTCTTGCTGCCCAGAGATTAACTTTGATCTGCCTACTTACCGGTCCTTGCAGAGAGTTTTTTCTGTAACCTTCAACCTCCCCAAGCCAGTCAATGATCTGCGCTCCGGCATCTGCGGTTTTTAAATATTTTATCATACCAGATTTGTCCTCTATCTCCATCTTTTGTGTGCTGGTAAGTCTGTCACCATTATTATTCTTGGGAGAAGAACCCAATCTTCTCTTTTTACTTCTCTTGTTTAATTCGCTAGGACTATTTTTCCAATTTATTAATGACTCCGGTCCAGTGTTCCCATAGGATACAAAACTATCCTCATCCGAATCCAGGAGGCTGATAGATTCGCTAGGTATCGTAAATTATCATATTTATTGCTTCCAGCTCTCCTTCTCTCTCCGCTCGGAGTTTGATAATTGAGCTTCCAGGAATCCTCTTCTTCGTCCGGGATATAAATCACGTTTGACAGATTCGGGTCCGGATATTTCGACAATTCACTAGCTCCCGCATGAGGGGTTCCTGAGGAGGAAGAAGCACCTTCACCATACGTCTGCCCTATGCCATTTGACGAAGGCCTGCTGGCGGCAGGGACTACACCGCCAGTGCCACGACCCTTTTGCTCTCCCACGACAAGAGAGGTCCCGTTGCTTGATGACGACCGCACAGAGAGCGGATTCTCTCCACGAGGCCGCCCCGCCACCATCCGAGAAGCAGCAAGGGGTGATCTTTCTATTATCCTGTTCATTTCCATTTAGGTAAGTTGATTTTTTTACAGAATCTCTGATCTCTCCTGTCCCGCCATTGTTGTGTTCAAGAGGTTTCAACACAGTCGTCAACAGAAAAAGCCATCCGGTAAGTATACAAAGACAACGACATAAATCTGATTTTATTCACAAGAGTGGTCATCTTCTGTCCCGCCAATGTTGCATCGAGGGGGGAAGTCTCCATGCAATCGTCAACGAAGAAGATCCATCCAGTCAGTAAGGACAATTCAGGTAAGAGACTTAGGTAATAGTTGATAGTAATTGAATCGTGAACCATTCTCTAAAATCTATAGCAAACTCGACGTTTACAATACATTATAATACTAATGTACTAATATAAGATTCTGTATTTGCTTGCACTTGACAGCAAGATAAATCTAGGCCAGCTGGAGCAAGACTTTCCTTCGCTGCACTCTCGAAATGCAGTGATGTGTTGCATTCATTGCGCCCGAAAAACCAGATACCGTAAGACGTATTAATATAGACTACTCCAACCTCGAGAGCCTAATTGTTTGAAAAAGCGAGCCTGAATTACGCAGGTCTTCAACGATTGGAGGAGATATATGTTCAATGGAACAAAATATAAGTTATTGTACTATAAACAATTCAAGGACCTTACTACAATAAAGGACTATTTAAACATTTAAGTAAGCTCTAAGCGGTCTTTCAATATTCGCTATTTAGTATTTCTAGTCATGTTGAAATACCAGGTGTATGCATAAGTTTTTTCCGGTTCTTTAGTAAAAAAAGACACGTAATTTTCAAGGAAATTAATTTTTTTTATTCAAAATATTGGCCATCTACACATTTCGCCCATCTTTCAGGTAATTTATGAATACCATGCCAGAAAAACTGCTTGTCTTTTGCGGCAAACCATTCGTCGAGCCATTTTCCAACTTCCTCGAAATTGCTGAAGTGCTGCTCTGCGAGCGCATGCCCCGTTGATGTGAAGAGGTGATACTCAGATGGCGCCAGGTCTGGGGAGTACGGCGGAAGGATGTCCCATCCAAGCGATTTCAAGGTGTCTTTCACTGGTTTTGCTGTGTGAGACGGTGCATTGTCGTGTAACAAAATCACTTTGCCATGTCTTCTGGCTCATTCCGGTCGTCTTTCGATTAATGTGTGGTTTAAATTAATCATTTGTTGGCGATAGCGTTGTGTATTAACGGTTTCGCCGGGCTTCAAGAGTTCATAATACACAATACCGCTCTGGTCCCACCAGACACAGAGTATGGTCTTCTTGCCGAAGCGATTTGGCCTTGGTGTTGATGGACCGGCTTCGCCAGGTGAAAGCCACGATTTTTTCCGCTTCGGGTTTTCAAAATAAATCCATTTTTCGTCACCCGTCACAATTCGATACAAAAATGATTTCCTTTCGTGGCGTTGAAGCAGCATTTCACAAGTGACTTTGCGATTTTCCATTTGACGTTCATTCAAATCGTGTGGGACCCATTTACCGAGTTTATTGATCTTTCCCATTGCTCGTAAACGTCTGCTGATTGTTTCTTGTGATACATGTAATGCTTCTGCTAATTGCAAATAATTGTTGAGTTTGAGTTGGGTCATCATCCAATAACTCCTGCAATTGTTCGTCTTCGCATTTTTGTGGTCTACCAGAGCGCTCACTGTCTTTCACATTGAAATCACCACTTTTAAATTGTCGAAACCATGTCTCACATGTTCTAATCGATGGAGCGTGTTCACCATATGTTTCTACCAGCAAACGATGACTTTCAACAGCCTTTTTCTTTTGATTAAATAAAAAAAGCAATGTGTGCCGCAAATGTTCTTTTTCAGGCACAAAACTCGACATGATCACTGAACGATAAAACAAAGACGCTAGTTTTTGGCGGACTCAACTTGTGTGTGTTTGTAGTTTTAAATGTCAGACGAACAAAATGATGTATGTGTCAAATTAATACGCTGCGTACTTTTCGCTGGCGACATCTCTTAGTTAAACCGGAAAAAACTTATGCATACACCTGGTAAATATAAAAGTAAGAGCTAGCCTAAACAGTAAATATAATACAAAAAAAGAACAACGTATATCACTATAACGAATAAACACCAAAGAACAGTAATTATAAATAAATAGTATAAAGTAAGATGAAATAATATATAATAGTATGTAATAATATTATATATTATATATTATATATTATATATTATATAATAGTATATAATAGATAAAAATAAATATATAAATAAATAAATAAATAAATATTATATTGTATTGCATTATTAATAACTATGACTATATACAAAAAGGATCAACAAATCAGCAATACACTCAAGCAGAAAAATTGAATTAATTAAATATATAACACTAAATAATGACTTTTGATAAATTAACAGTTAACAGTTAACAGTTTAACAAAATAATAACAATGAGAATAATAAAAATTAATAAATATACACAAAAAACAGTAACGCTATAACTCAACATGACTAGAGTAGAGACTAGAGTAAAATGCCAGAATCATGATTATAGAGTTAATACATACATAAATTTAGTAGAATACTACCGCCAAAAGATATACTATTCTTTTCAGATAATTGTGATAATTAAATCAAGTAACTATATTTTCCTAGATATATGTATAGAGTGTATTCTCGCAGATATTAATTTATCTAGCAGAGATTATATCACAATCAAAAAGATTTTCTTCTAATAAAGAAACTTCCATTTTATATGTTCTATTTAAATGCATATTAAAGTGATAATCCTATGCATCTTTTAGCAATAATCGTCGAGGGAGAGACCCATGTGTAATGAACAACGAAACATCTACATCTATTCTAATCTACAAGGAAACTTACATGACATAAACTTTCCATTACAATATAAGTCATTAGCTGAGATGTATTATAAATAACTTGATTATACATATAATAATCAATATGACTTAATAACAATAATAGCCTTAACTATAAACAAGACAAACTAAAGTAATATATTCTCAGAATATGCCTATGCAGAGTATATATATGCGCGAATAATTCAATATAGTTAGTGGACAATAAAATAATATATAATATATTGTATTATCTAGTATCTAGTATTATACCATATTATATTATATTATTATTATACCATAGTATATTATATAGTATTATCTAGTAGTATATTACATTATATAATATATTATCTTTACATTTAAAGATTTGACCTAATTTAATTAGCAAGTAGTTATAGGTAAACTCTAAACTATCTAACGTATTCAGGCGATATATGTCTAGGTGATCAATCGGCTCACATGCATAACATGATCTTAACATGATCTCTGTGCATTATGATATATATGTAAGAATTTTTAACGAAACATAATCTGAGGAAAGGAGACCAACGCCAGTGAAACCCACCCAAGAGCCGTACAATGACGAGGTCACGCAGTCAAGTTAATATGAATAAAGCATGGCTTGATAAATTCATAATACATATGAAAGTATCATGACAAGTAAATTTTATTAAGTATCAAAGTGCAAAAACAAATGTGTTTCTCCCCACAGAGCATCCAAGAAGGATCTCATATTAATAAAAAAAAATCGGCAAAGTCAAAAGAGCCGACAAATAATATTGCGCAACAAACAACACGCCACAATATCTATATGCGATAGTTGCATAGGCAAACGCAGATATCCTCTCAAGAATGGAATCAGGAAAGTAAAAACTATAATTATTCATCCTAACACTGACGCATTTAAAAGTATAGCATTACAGCCGAAAACATAACTTGAACAGTTACAGATACTGTCGCATATCCAAGCCTAAGTCTAGCCTCATTTATGATAATTCACATCTTAACAAATTAGCATTTTAAAAATCTATTTAATAACTAAAAGAGAAAGAAACATATACTCAAGTCCAAACGCCAATATAAGTAATTTTAATCTATAAAAGTGTTTTCAAATATGCTTGAGAGTGCCAAGACTTATGTTAGCAATCGAGTAAAAAAGTATATGAAACATGGTAAACTGTTATAATTAATGTCATATCACAGCTCCGATGACTTCACTCATACAAAGTATGGCAGATAAAATAAAATAATAATATTATAACGGATGTCGCATCAAATCAACTTCAACAATCATATACTAGATGCAATGTATGGCTTAAAATAATCATGACAGCCCAAAATATAGGCAGACGTGAAAGATAAAATGCAGTCCACTAACATTCTTTTAACAAACAAATTGCTCATTTGATCTAATATGAGATATGTGATGCAAAGCCTACACATTTCCACAATGATTAGTCCGTATAAAATAATGTAGCATCGAAGCCGAAACATAACCGAACAGCCACATCTTACTTTTGCACATCTGAGTCTAAATTGAGCCTCATAAATGAGGCTTCACATCTCAACAGTTCAACACTACTAGTATAATTACTAACTAAGAAAGAAACTCATTCTCAAGTCCATACGCGGCTATATGTAATTTAGACCTATAAAAGTGTCTCCAAATATGCTTAAAAGTGCCAAGATTTATGACAGCGATCAGATAAAAAGTAAACAGTATATAAGATACGATAAATTGTTATAACTAAATGTCAGCTGCAACACTAGAGATCTCACTTGAAGTTTGACAGATAATGTAATATTATAATAGGTATTACATCGAATCAATTTCATAACTCGTCCACCAAAAAAGATGTGAGACTTAAATTTCCACGCATATAAC